GAGTGAGGTAACCTAGACCCAGAAAGACAAATATGCTATGCATTTACTTATAAGTGCATATTGGCCATTAAGTAAACCAAGCTATAAACCGTAGAGATTCAGAAATATTGGTATAGACGAGAGCCATAATGGAGACACATCAATCTCCTGGTGGAAAAAAAGAACTTTTTTTTTTCTTTTTGCTTGTTAAATTTGTTGTGTTTCCTCAATGTTAACTGCTATTTTGAAAATACATGATGAATCTTTTTTTTTCCAGTCAGAATTCTGAAACAAATAATATGAGGAAAAATTACCAGAAGGGGAAACTTAGAACATATATATTATAAAAGTATTATCGTGTTTACAAAGTTATCCCTGAAGGTTGATTACATTTATAGTGCCAAACTGCCAAGAGAGGCAAACCCAGAGGCTGTCTCTTCTTCATCACCAAGCATTGATGCCTTGGGAAGTGTGGTCACTTAAAAAAAACCTCAAGAAAATACCATCTGTCTATTCAAGGTAATTCCTTCATTTGAACATATTACTTCTGAAAATCATATTTTATTTTATGAAGCGTGTATTTGATTCAGGATGGAAAAATAGACCATACCCGTATATGAGCACCATCACATGCATGTGTTTCTGAAATCTTTTGTGGAACTATAGAGCTCTAGTTCAATTGATCAGCTTCCACTCCATCTCCACCACTCCTAAAAGGAAATAAATTGAATATGGCCTATAAAAAAGTACTGATGTACTTTCTGTGCTACTGATAATACAGTCTTCAGAGCATTTTAGAGCCATAATTGTTCAAGCTCCCTAGATTTTCCTATCCCTTAGGTTGTAAAAACCTGGACATAGCTATAAGCGTGGAACAAATGTAAACAGGAAAGTTGACAGAAGTCCAAAGAGAGATGGGTCTCTGAAAAGTAAGAATTGATCAATGATGGCAATGAATTCAGTAGCCAGGATAGATATAAACTCAAAATTGCCCAATGAATTTTTTTCTTTTTATTAAAAATAGATTATTTTTTCATACAGTATATTTTTCCTCCTCCTCCAGTTCCTTCCCACCTCTCCTTTCATCCAGGTCCACTGTCTCTGTCTCTTATCAGAAAAGAACAGGCTTCTAAGAGAAAAGGACCAAACACAGTAAGATAAAATATAATAAGATAAAACAAAAACCATCACATTGTACTTGGACAAGGCAAACCAACAGAGAAGCTAAAGAGTCCCAGGAGAAGGCACAGGAATCAGAGACGTACTCACTCACCCACTCACTCACTCAGGAGTCCCATAAAAATACTAAACTGAAAGCAATAATATACACGCAGAGGGCCTCCTGGTGCAGACCCCTGTAGGTCCTGTGATTGCCACTTCAGTCTCTGTGAACTCGAATGAGCCTTGCTCAGTTGATTCAGAAGACCTTGTTCTCCTGGTGGCCTCCATCTCCTCTGGCTCTTACAGTCTTTCTGCCCTCTCTTCTGCAGGTTTCCCTGAGCTCTGAGGAGGGGGATTTGATGGAGACATCCTGTTTAAAGCTATGCTCCAAAGTCTGTCTGTACATCTTTTCCCTCCCTGCCCATCACTTTGCCCCACTCTTTCTGCATGATGTCTGGCTGTTACCCACTGAATTTTGTGAGAAGGGTGTTATCAGCAAATCAGGCATAAAAGAATCCATGAAGTGGGGAGGATATATCAAAATTGGTGGACATACAAGTGGTGGGATTTTCAAGGAGGGCCTGTTGGTAATTCAGACAAAGAAAGCATTTCTGACACCCTCTCTCTCCAAATGATAATGTCAGTGGTGGTAATCATGATATTACACATTTCTTGTGCACCTCTTGTATATCAGACACAGTTATAAGCATTTTACATATGTTATCATTTTTTGCCTGTAGATAGACCAGTCACTGATAGGTTAACTCCCTCTGGCTCATCTCTCCCTGGTCAGTTCCTGTCTGCCTTCCTCTTTCTTATTATCTCTAGCAAATGTTTGTTCAGTTCTTCTTGGATACATGCAAGAAATAAAGCACTGACTGAAAAACTACTTAGTATGTACAGTAGACATGGCCAATAATAGTGATCTTTATTCTTCTTGGTTCCCTGAACGAAAGCTTTGTTTACTTCTGGTCTCTCTATCACATTCTCAATATTACACCAGCTCTCTTTGGCAGCGGGAATTTCCCAGAATACATTTCTTCTTTGCTCTTCCCCCTCAGATGCCAGGATCTTGCATAATAGCATTTACTCCCACATGTTTAATTTGCTGTGCAGGCTGCACCATTGACACATATTTTCATTTCTCCACAAAGGCTACTGTGCTGAATGTATGAGCCTCGGAGTCACTGATTAGAAAATCGGCGAACAAACCTTTTTGCAACAATTGCCCCCTGGATTATTTCTCACATTCAACTTCCTTAAATACTGCCAACCTTTATTTGTGAAACCCAAAGGTTTCTCATCTTCTTGGCTCAAGATTTTACCTGTGTTTGTCATTTCTGTAACAAACAGCACTCAGCAGACACTGGAATGTTGCAGAAAGCCTCCTTGTTACCTCAACTACTTTCGGGATACAACATTCTTACTCACAATCCACCAAGGGTCTCAAAGCGTCTCTCGTTGCATTGGGGCTGTGTTTAGGTATGTGTGTGTCTGTGCACCTTGTGTATTAGTATGAAGGCTGGAGGTCAGTGTTGGGCTGTCATCCTCTATCATTCTCTACATTTTTTGGTAAAGAGTCTTTCATTGAACCTGGACTGATTCAGTCATGCAGCTGACCAGTAGGTTCCTGGTGTCCACCTGTCTTATCCCATAGTTCAGGAATTATAAGCATTCACCACCACACCCAACTTTTAGTGGGTGCAGGAGATCAGATCTCAGATCTTCATATTTGTGGAGGACTCGACTGTCATACCCTTCCAGACCTTCACCTTATCTCGTTAGACATAACCTTTGTTTTGAGGCAAATCAGTGGTACAGAGTCTTCTGGGAAAATTACAGCGAGACCCATTCTTTTCTTTTCTTCTTTTTTTCTTTCTTTCTTTTTTTTTTTTTTAATAAGCAGCCCCTTCACTCTAGCCACAGCCCTCTGGGTACCCTGCTCTCTAGAGACTGCATCTCTGGATTCAGATCTACAAGTGTCTCAGTTTTTCAAACCTTTAAGAAAGTTGCAGCCAAGCGTCATTTTGTGTGCTGACTGAATACTATGTGTCCACGAGTCTTTGAAATTCTGCCATGCAGACATCAAAGACTACATGTTCAGGGACCGTGCTGGTTTGTCAGGGCAGGAGGCCTTCTCCCTTGTCTCTGCCTGCTGTGGCCTTGAACATGCCTACAGGCAGCAGTTTTACAGTTTTAAGCCTGCTCAGGAGAATATTAAAGATTCATTTATTGTGAAAATTGGCAAAGGCTTTTAAATTATAGTTTAAGGAAAGCTTTGTAAAACCATCCCTATTAAGTTTCCTCTGCTAAGTCAGAAGCTGACATCAGAGACTTACTCTGCATATTTGATAAAAGGTAACAATGCTAATTGACCTAGCGTAGTCTGTGTAGCTATGACACCCTTTTAACTCTTAAAATCCCTTGAGGATTTTTATTTTTCTCATCATTACTGCTGATGTCACATTATAAAGTCCCCATTTCCAGGGTTGCCTAGATCTAGAGAACACAGGTTGATTTCAAGTGGAATTATAGTTTCCATTTAAAAAAAATTTTTTTCATGCTTTTACTCTTCCTTTTGATTTCAAAGCATTGTCAATCTCTTGCCTCCTACGGTTTCTATAACTGTGTGTGTCTGAGAGAGAGAGAGAGAGAGAGAGAGAGAGAGAGAGAGAACAATAGTGCAACACTGAGGTGTGAGTATGAAGGTCCGAAGATACATTCAGGAGCCTTTTCTTTCCTCCATCTTATTCAGGCAGGGTCTCTCCTGTTGTTTTGGTGTCTGCAGAGCATACTCCAGGCTTGCTGTCTTTCAAGCATCTGTCCAGTTCTCTACCTGCCTCTGGTTGGAGCTCAGAGATTAAAGATGCAAGCTAGCTAGTGTACCTGGCATTTCTAATGTGGTTTCAGGGAAATGGATTCGGGTCTTCTGGCTCATGCTGCAAGCACTTTTTCCTGCTGAGGAAGTTCCCCAGCCTTGTCCACAGCTTGACTTTTGGTGATAGTTTTCATCAGAAAAATATGGTATTCTTCCTGCATCTATAGCAAAATGAGTTAAGACCCAAGAGATGAGTTTAACGCAAGGTAAAGATGCAACCTCTGTAAGTCTTACAACGCTGCACCCACATGGAGTCACACATTAGACTCCACCCAGCTCCAGTCACACAAATAAATCTCCCAAGCCAAGCAATTCAGTTATTCTGAGAAGCTTGAACCACAAGATTTTAGGATCAAACTCATACCACACCTTACACTAAAAATATCCATCTTTACCTTATAATCACTTTTGTTCTGTGTGTTTTTTGGTAGGACCCTCCTCAGTGGTACTGCCAAAGTTTCAGACCCAAAGCCATGTAGGCTTTGTTTCAGGATAGACTGGACCCATAAAACTGGTAAACTTTAAACTCACTCATGCAGAACTTAATGTTACACAAAAAACAGAAGTGCAGAAAAACTGAATGCATCTCATTCTTTCCAACTAAGATCAACAGGCACACAAATGCACACACAGGCATACATGGGAACGCTCACACAGCACACACACTTTATTTATACAATGCTTAAGATACGATTCTTTTTTTCTTTTCTTTCTTTTTTTTTTTTTCTTAACTGAAAAAGCCACTGGGCTCTCTTGCTTCTATGGTGTTTGTCTGGGAGTTTTTGGGGGGCAGGTTCTGTTCCTCTTCACCATCACAGTGAACTGCCAGTGACTCTGAGAAAGGCTGTCCAGTGCAGGTTAGAGTGAGACCAGTTCTTGGGGATCGCGTACTTGATTCTACCGAATGTGGCCCAGGCATTCGTGTTGATGATGGTCCTTGGGTAAGAAGTGATACTTGTTGCTGAATGGGTCTACATCTCAGGACCACCACGACTCCTTCCCTGTGGGCCGCCGGCTCCATTCCCACGGTCTTGTCAGTGGGAAGGAGTTGCAAGTCGTCAGGTGATCGGGCTCGGAAGCTGTGCATCGCTTATTACTCTAGATCAGGAAGCTGGAGCAGTTCCGCACCACCAGCCTTGCAGATGCACAGACATGCAGTGGCTCCTGGCACTACAGTAGCTGGAGCCCTATATCTCTTCATTTTTACTCTTGAATGCGTCCTCATCTATTCAGGTAGGTTTCTAATCGAAACGTAAGCCAGCAAGGAAACAAATCCTCCCTTAGTGTGACTTAATTCACAGAATCATTCAGTGTTAGAAATATTTTAACTGGGCTGGACAGACGGCTCAGTTATAAGAGCACCTACTGGTGATGCAGACACTCCTGGTTTGCTTTCAGCACCAACATCTGCAGCTCAAAAAGGTCTGCAAATCTAGTTCTAGTGGGTCTCACACCCTCTGCCCTCTGTGAGCTTCTACACATACACAGAGAGAGAGAAAGAGAGAGAGAGAGAGAGAGAGCACATAAGCTCATTCACACACGAAAACTTTTCAAATTATTTTGAAAAATAAATATTTGTATTGACTTAAAGCAGGTAATAATACATTTACCTCCTAGAAGCGATTAGGTACTCTGTATGTATGTATAGAAAGCAGAAATGATAAATAATTTGAATGGACACATAAGGTGACCTGCATGAAGAAAGATGAGTGAAAAGGTGGGAACAAAAACAGTGAGAGATGGGTGAAAAAAGCAGTCGGTCAGGAAAGGGAATGACAAGGCAAGAAAAGATAAGATCTAGAAACCAAGGAGTAGTGCCTACGCCTAGTGCTGGTAATTTAAATGCCATTTTGTCTCGACTCTGTGAACAGCGTAAGAACACCTCAAGTCAGAATTTCCAAACAACACGCTTTGAAGTGAGGAAATGAGGCTGTAAATCAGTACCTTCGTTTTACCACGGTGAAATCATCATGCTCTTAGAAGCAGAAATCTTTGCCAACTGCTGAAACTAGAAAGGAAATTTAAATGAATTTTAAAATACATTTGTGTACGTGACTAAGGAAGCCAAAGGCATCAGATGTCCCTGAGGAACTAGAGATATAAGTGCTGTGAGCCACCTGATGTGGGTGCTGGGAATTGAACTCGGTCCTCTAGAAAAGCAGTATGTACCTCTTAACCACTCAGCCATCTCTAGCCTTGGATTGGAATTGTAAAGGACAAGGATGGCCTTGCTCTGTTGGTTTACATACAGACATTCTCTTGCACAGGCAAGAGACACAGACAAATCTTACTGCAACCAAACCAAACTTCATATGCTAGATTGTCGTCTAAAAGCTTCACTGTCATTCATTTAAAAATGAGCATAATTATGTGATATCAAAGTAGCTGGAAGAGCGAAAGCCAGCTTTCACAGGGCTTAACTATTAAATGATTATTTTATGTTGTCTCTGTGGAGAGCATTAGAGAGAACTTTGGTAAAAATCAGCTGCCCTGGGGAGCAGTCCAATAGATGTCCAGGAGGGAAAAGTAATTCAGAATATGTGAAATCTGCCCACAGTCATTGTTTCTGCATTTGCCTCAGTGGCTGAGGCTGCTCTAATGATCACTTGGCTGGGATGTACGTTTATCTTGTCAATGTAGAGAAACATAAAACATTCACGTTTTCAAAATCTAAAGGTCACAGCAAATGGCTTGAGGAATTTAAGAGCACTAGAATGCCTTTGCCTATTCATTGAAATATTAGCTTTAGAATAATTGCATAGAGCAAGACTAGGAACACTTTAGAAAGAGAAATCACACAAGTGAAAATAAAGTATTTAATTAAGTTTTATGGGACTCAGTGATGAGTTAATTAAAGTAATCTTTATCTTTACTGTACACCATGCACCTTTAACAGGGAAATGGACTAATGTTAAATTTGTGAATTTGTCCCAGGCCAGTGTATTTTCTAAAACATGTAAGGACGAAGCAGTGGATAACACCTTTGCTCTTAAGGAGTATAATATATCTTGCCCTTCTATTTATAATTTATTTAGTTATGTGTCTATGAGGCTTGAATTTTAGGGCCCTAGAAGATGTGACTAAAGAGTAAAAGGAGCTGTTACCTTGCAAATCCAACTCTTTGTCTCTTTGCGCACCAAGGCTTCTGCAAAGTACATCTAGGTAGCAAAAAGACAGGATTCTGCCTTGAATGGTTTGCCCTGCTCCTAGCTATTGTCATACTTAATGCAGTGTTTGTATTGGTCAAATTCAAATTGTTTTGCCACATTGAAATGGTTTTAATTATTAATCAGACATACATTTTTAAAAAATATCAGATTGACAAAATTGTTTATGGAAATATACAAATACATTAATTGTTATTTCACTGTTTAAAGATGCAAAAGCACTTTGTTGCTATTTTACCAGATCAGGTACATCCTCTTGTCAACAGCTTCTGACTGAAAGATGTACTTGAATTTGTAGATTTTTCACCTTCTGAATACAAACAAGAAAGAAATAACAAGTCATTGAGTAGCAGGAGTGTTTTGTACTTCTCAAAACAAACAAAGCAAACAAATAAAAAAAAAAAAAAAAACAATGCTGACAAACACCAGATTGCTCCTTGGAGGCTGTAAACAAAACTATGTATGTTCTGACTAGGAGACAGACTTTTTACCAATTTTCTCGTTACTTGGGAAACCATAAGATAGAAATGAGAGAGGAATACACACATCCACAGACATATTTATATAAAACACAAACCACAGTAAAGTTGCAAGTGAAGCACTATATTCCACTTATCTAGCCAATCGTAGCTATTGATAGATGGTTTTGTGTTCAAGTCAGCTATGTTAGAAATATTACTACAGGGCTCAATGTGCCAACACATACATAGATCTGAAATGATACAGAGATTAGCACGGCCTCTGTACGAAAATGGCATGCAAATCATGAAGCATTTCATATTTTGCACCAGCTTTGACAAAAGGTTGCCTGACAAAAACCAACTGTAGCTTGGAAAGGTCTCCCTGAGGTCTTTGAGTTTTGCAGTAAGTGGTGGAGAGCCAACACCCTTCCTTAGAGCCTCCTGGCATCTCCACGGTATCACAGACACATCACTAATAAGTTCCCTGATGATTCCTCTATTGCTTGTTGTTATTATTTATATATATATATATGTGTGTGTGTGTGTGTGTGTGTGTACATTAGAATTCCAAAAAAACAAAAAAAACAAAAAAACAAAAACAAAAACACGACATGCCTACTTTGGTTTATTTAAAAAAAAATATAAGCAGACTAGACATTGAACTCAGATGAATGTGCAAAAAAACATCTAAATTACATTTGGACATACTATTCAAGGCTTTAGGGGTGTGTGTGAGAGAGAATATTTAGTTTTCAAACTTGTATGCCCTGAAAACCATATGTATGCTTTAGAAATAGAAGTGGATTTGAATCCTAACTTAAAATGATTATGACCTTGGCAAGTTTTCATCAAATTCACCTTTCACCTGTGGAAATTTAAGTGATTGTTCTTACCTTCAAAAGTTGTGTAAGGATTAAGTGAGACAGGAATCATTTAGCTTAATACCAGCTGATTTTCTACAGATTTTGTACAAGTGTTTGTCTTCTTTCTTCCCCTGTCATAATTACAGTTCTTGTCAAGAGGGAAAAGGAGTAACATGGAGAATTGGAGGGGAAGGAGGAAAAGGAGAAAGAAGAAGGGGAAGAGGAATATGAGTTAGTTAATAAAGATGTAGCTCAATGGAATAGTGTTTGCCTAATGGCATTGGGGTCTGAATTTGATTTTAGCATTGAAGAAAATGCCCCTTATATTATCAGAGCATACCATACGTCTATAGCTCTGTTAGAAATTTTGAATATATCATGTAACATAATTCCATGATAACCCTAAGTAGGTATTATTCCAAATTTGAAGATAATGAAACAACCCTAAAGAGAAGAATGAGATAAATTATCTTACTCAAGGGTCAATCAGCTACTTATTATAGAGTCTGGTTCCAAATCTTTAATCTACATTTGTGTCTAAGAGTATCTGATACTAATTTCAAAAACTAGAAATTTCTACAAGGCTTCCAAAAGCATCCTGTTTGGCTGTGGACAAAAGAATAGAATAAAGTAGAAAACTCATCACAGGACTGGGAAAAAGCTTGTGTTAAGTTCTTTTGGTCCCAAAAACTCTGTTAACCTCTAAAGATGAGTAGGTGAGTAGCAGTTGGAAGATGGCTCTTCCAGGCATCCTTAAACATAGGAAACTTATTAGAAGGACATGGCTCCTGTTGTAGTACCTAGGGGACTTTGGGCCACTCATCACAGTAGTAATTCAAGAACTCCAGAGATATCTCTCAGAAAACGTTTGCAGTGATTTGTAGATTATTTGTAAATGTGTATGTCTTACACACATATGGTTGTGGTTACTGGCTCTCTCCTATTGGAAAAATACAAGCCAGTTACTTTATAATGGTTTCAAATGGTCATTGGGAAAGCAACATGTTTAAACTAAGTTAAACATTATATTAAGTTAAATTAAATATTAAAATTAAATTAAACATACCTGCCTTCTCAAACATCTGCCATTTCTATGTGTTGAAAACTTTCAAAATCTTTTCTTGCAGTCTTTTGAAATGTACAGGTGTTATCACTATCTGTAGCCACCAAACTCTATAATAGGAGCCCCAAAGCTCGTTTCTCCTGTCAAAGTGTAACACAGTAGCCACAGATTAACCTTTCTTCATTTCCTCTTCTCTCTACTCTTTTCAGCCTGTAGTACCACCGTTCTACTCTCAATTTCTGTGAGATCAACTGTCTCAGATTCTACATCTGAGTGAGATCATGTAGTTCTGCACATGGCTTATTATCTTGGTGTGCTAGAAATATAAGGATTCCGTTTTTGGGTAGTTGAAGGGTATCCTAATGTATATATGGACAGCATTTTTTTATGTACCCAATGATGGCTAAATGCATTCTCTGTCAGCTCCTTTTCCTCCCCTCTTGTCTTAATATTCCCAGACTATTTACCTCACTTGTTCCTATTTGTTCTTCTGTAAAGTTCATCACATCTTCCTCTAAGACCTCTGTGTTTTGTCAGTTATTTTATTGATACGGTTTTTATACTGGAGTTCCTTTCTACAAGTCTTTTGGTTCTAGCATATAGTAGGTATTCAATTATCAATTGAATATTGATTGCACGCTGATATCACTGAAAACAGAGATTGAGAACTGGTAACCTG